CAAATATATAGCAAAATTTATCCACGTATTATATTAGTATTTTGGATGACTTAACTCTTTCTCCGTAATTCATCCCCTTAGGTTTTAGTCGTTCATAAAAACACAACAAGCAGCTTTATCTGCGTGATCATAAACAAAAACAAGTACTTCATACTTGTCGATGCATTCCAAAATTAATACCTTATACGCAACGTGGCAACGTATCTGTGTAGCAAGTTGGAAAGAAAACCTGAAAGAAACCATGAAAGTCAATTAGTTGCCTATCATCTGGCCTATATAGCGCGCACAAGTCCTACGTAATTCCTAAAAAGCTACCATGGTAAAAATCTTTATGTACGCACAGCCGTGCATCCATAACATGACGTTTGCAGTTTCACTTCGGCTAAAAGTTCCCGTCGATCGAGCTAAGCCGCGAGCTTTCAAAACTTTCAAGATTTCTTCCGTTTTATCACAATAGACATGGACCTTTTCCAGCTCAAGATGAAAAGAAAATATGCTAAACAAACTCGCGTCGCATTACAATGAGCATGTAGCTCTTTCAAGCGACGAAATTAGTGTTCTAGTTGACGATACTTCATTCCTACACGCGATGCGAGTTATGGCCGAAAACAAAACTGAGTTTCCTCACCTCAGCTAAGGCTTTGTGGCGTTAGGCACTCTTCATTAGAATGGTAAATATTATTTTGAAGTGTTGATATGTTCCAAAACAACTCAAGCGCGTAAATCTACCACGCGAGTCTTGTTAATCCAAGAAATTTGTAATTTTTTCGTACGTTTTTCGAACGGTTCATATTATTATTCGGTGCTGACATTTACTAAAACTATTTTCGAATAGAAGATTTTGATTTTCAAACCATACAATAAAAAAATTCAAAACTTTTACGCGAGAAGCTAGACTTGGTTTCGGCTGCGCCTCGAGCATCTCTCTTACGCATCTCCCGTGCTCTGTAAACTTCCAGCGTGCACTTATAATTCGATATATGTACGCTAAGCATAGTACTCAGCGTGTTTAATGTAAAGAAACCTGCATCAACTTCGAGGAGTTCCGATTTTTTTTAGCCCCAAACCCAAAATGAACGTTCATATCCCATGCAATCGCAGGTTTTCAACTCACTGATGTAATTGAGAACTAATGTCAAAAGCGTTTTTGAAGTTTCAAGTAAAACACCCAGCATTAAAAAAAAAAAAAAAATTGAGATGACCGGAATTTCTACACCGTCCTACCGATGTAGATGAAATCTGACATCATTAACTAGTGTAAAAAATCTCATAATATAAGACAATACTCATATACACACCTCAA